AAGCTATTAGACCTCTAGCACGCTTCTAGCTCCTTTAGTTCCAAGAGGCGAGCCATGGAATTTAGGAAAGACCACTTGAATGATGAAGAATGAAGGAAATCTTCCAAAAAACCTACAAAGAAAAAAGAAAAAGAAGTTAGTACAGCTACTATAAAACCCTAATAAAAAGGTATGGAGAAGAGAAACTCACCTAACCTAACAATAGGGTTGGTATGCCTAATTCGACTCCCTCAAGATGTGATAAAAGTGTCATCCAAGTCACTTGCAGGTGTTGGTGTCATCCTTAGTGATGATAGTCCTAGAAACATGTTATAGAGGTATATTATCTATGTAGGATACAATCTTAGTTCCAATTATTAGCCACTAAAGTCATGGTCTCTACCTCAACCATCATAACATCATGGAATCCAAAAGTTAAAGGGACATCCGTTGCTTGAAACTTAAGGTCTAGAACCTCAATTTCCTATTTCTCAAACTCAAAAATATCCGGGTTCCGTATTCCTAAAGAAGCTAGGGAGGTATGATGAACTTTAACCTCAACATCCCTTCAAGTTCCTACCCTAATAGAAATTGGAGCAACATAAGAGGTCATGGGCGACCCATTGGTAGCTTTAATAGAAGGTGTTTTGCACACCATATTAAACTACTCTTAAAGTGGTTCTATTAAGGGAACTTCTTCCTATAATCAAAGAATAATGAAAGTAAGCATTCATTATTGACCATGACAATGATGTGAGACATGAAAAAAAAAAGGTCATAACAAAACTAGTTTATCTCTTTCGGAATAGAAACAGAGACATCTTAATATGGTCTAGAGTCCATAAAAACATCAATTGAATTGTCTCTAGCCCATTTTGAAAGATGACAAATGAGGGTTGCATTGTCCTCATAGTCCTTACTATCATAAAATTTAGAACTCTCTTCTAACAACGAAGGTAGCCTTGTATTTCTTCTTACCTATCTCAAGATGATAGAGAGAGACGAGTTGAAGTTAAACCCTAGGCCTCATAAATCCTAAAGGATGATCTAAGAACCTAAACACTTGCAACAAAAGCGACTTTTAGATTAATTTCCTCTATTCGAGTAGAAGTCTTCTTAGCAAGAGCAATAGTAACCTAATGGGTTCTTATTTCCTTTGTAACATCTAGAGGTAGAGAAGGATCTTTAATAGAACTTAGACATAAAAATAAAAGATAAAAATATTTAGTAATATTTTCCAAAGGGAAGAAGAACATCTAAATAAAAGGAAAATACCTTTCTTAAGAATCTTCGACCCTTATGGGATAGTTTGAAGATTGGGGTCCTATCTTTATCTTTTTCACCACCAAGAGATTAAGAAAGATCTAGACGAGGATTTTTTTGTTCTTAAGTGCTAGTTTGGCATGTACTAAGAGGGGGTCAAAAAGGGTACTTTAAGGATTACAATTATAGCTTTAATATTAGAATCCTTAAAACGATAACCCTAAATCATTATATCTACCAAGAATTAAAGGTACTCGTATGTTTAGGCACTATCTAACTTTGAGGAAGTTCAATTATGGAGCTATAGATTTCCATAGTTTGTTCTAATAAATGTAGAATCGCATCTTCATTAAGAGACTTTTTATTATGCTTAGGATTATTGTACAATGCGAGGGCGATAATAACAATATCCTAACATAATCCAAATTGTTAAGCAAAAAGGTTAGGAAAGTAGAGCTCGATAACATAATGATCATTACGGAACAAAGGAAGTTCCTTGTAAGTTAGGATGACCATCTTCTAGTATAAGTTATCTTCTTCCAAAGCACTCTATAGAATGTAGATTTTGACAAATCGAGTTTAAACTACCTAGAAAGGAACCTAGGCGAAGTAAAAAAGTCACCAAAGTAAATGCCATAGACATAGTCTTCATAATTGATTGTGTTGATAGTAGCAACTTAAGCATTAAAATAATAGCCAAGTATAAGATAGGTCACATTTGGGTTAAAATGTAGACACTTAGAAATTATGTTTAGAAAGTAAGCGGTAGTCCACAACACAACTAGTCAAAAAGGTAAGGACAATTCTTGTGAAAAGGGTCGGGAAAAATAGCTTGAAACACGTCATGATTAGCATAAGCAACATGCAAAGGTGCAAAAGCAACGAGCTCTATATACTAAGACATAGCAATAACTATTAGAAGATACCTTATGCTCACAATAGTATTTTTATAATAGACAATAATTATAGAGCTACAAAAGGTAGAAGCCAACCTCCATAGCTTCAATGTCTTTGAAAGTTGACAAAGCTAGAGAATAAGTAGAATTGGATCTAACATCCACCAACACATCTAAAAAATCAACCTTGTACTAGGCATTCAAATCAATCGATGTCATGGCATTATAGAGATCAATCCCTATAAGGGAATAACAAGTTTGAGACACCACATCTTCCCGAGCGATTACCATAAGACCTATCTTTTTATGTAAGCAATTATTAGTAGTATTCCATAAATTCAAACTACCCAAAAAGAAGAGGATTTGTTTTAGGAACATGATTAATGGTTAAGTCAAGTATGTCAAACATCTTAATCTTTTTTTGTTTCCTTTAAACACTAGAATGTCATTACGAGTGCATCATTGGGATAGTGATCTCAATTTAACGGTTTGGCCATGTTCTAGTGGGATGTTTGGAATAAATTTTGAAGTAATTCCATGCCATCCCCTTTGTAGTAATAGGGTAATATGTGAAAATGGCCTTTTAATAGAGAATCAAACATCTCAAGAGTGCCCATGCTCTTTGAACGTCAACTTTAGGTCCATGATCCCAAAAAAGGAGGGTCCTAAAGCATGAGGTTGGGTGCTAACATGGAAATTAGGAGAAGCCCTGTGAAACTTGGTAAGAAAGGATGACATGGTAGAGTGGATTAAATAAGGGTGATTGAAAGGAATAAAATGAAAGTGACACTCTAAGTGCAAGGTCACCTCAAATAAAGATTGGAATTGGGAAAGGCATTTATGAGATTTGAAAGGAGAATTACTACTATAAACCATAGAGAACGAACAATTGATTTATAGACTAATTTAAAACACAAAAGAAGAAGACAAGATGAAACCCAAAAATTAGAAAGAAAAAAAATCACAAAGAGAGTTTGAATTGAAAAATGATTCAACAAAGGAAGGACAATTGAAATTCCCTCCATATTTATTCATGGTAATTAAAGAGATGTGACTATTGTAGAGTGAAGAGATGTATTAGTTCCAAGTATCCATTGCAACATTAGAAATTGAGGGAGACGAACGGGCATTAAAATGATTGTTTCTTTTTACATGTGAGAATTGATTTCACATGAGAAAAAAAGGAGGCAAATGCTATACCTAAATTTAATTAATTTAATTAGGGCTTGCCAACCTAATTAAATCGGCTAGAGCCCAATGATGCTTTCGTCATAGAAATCTTAAAAGCTATTATTACACCCAAAGCCTAATCCACTGGATAAAATTCGGACATGTCTACAAAAAAAGGCCTAAAGGAGTTTATGAAGATAGAAAGACTTAGTGTAACTCTTGACAAAATGGCAACGTAGGCAAAAAGAAGTAGAAAGCTAAATCCTCTATGTGCAACAATCAATTAACAAAATTAACTAGAACCAAAAATAAGAAGGACATGATATGTTGCAATGGATGACTTGGAAATGCTAGAGAAATTGGAATGTTGCAAATATGGGCCATTGCGGTTTAAGAAGGGAAGTAATTGCAGTTCATGAACATGCCTAATATAGAAGAATGTAGAAGATTAGAAGGGTTATAAGTATCAATTATAGCCATATGAACAAACACACAACGAAAAACACAATCAACTACAATACAATACTCTTGCAAATTGCAAGCTTTAACTTTTAGTTCAAATAATCTAAATACGGTAGGCTATAGTTTATAACCAATAATTACTTACGCTATAATCAAGTAGGTCGATAGATCGTTCTTGGTTCGATTGCCACATTCATTACAACACACACGAGATCCCGCCTTTCAAAGTTTTGAGTTTTTCGGTAGTTCTAGCGTTTGTAAGTTTTTATGCTTTTGCATCCAGAGTCAATGTTTTTTATGCTTCTAGGGTCGATACTATTTGTAAAGATTTTTAATTCAATATTTACAAACTCCCACTTTCATTTAATTTTGCATTTCATAATTATATACTTGTTGAAGTTGATTATTATGAGATACTTTTTTTTTTTTAATATCTCGATATTCAATTAAATTTATTTACTTAGCCATTTTTGCTATCTAAATTAGAGTCCGAAAGATAGATTACCATTCGGACAACCTTCCAACCGTATTATAAAATCTTTTATTTCAAAATCTGTTTAATTAAGGTCGGCATAAAAAAATCCACAACAACTAGTATCAATAAAAGAGTTGTAGTATTCCACTTTGTTCTAAATCATCACAAAACCAGACTCCAAAAAAGCTAAAAAAACAAAGAGTCACACAAACTTGAAGAACGCCTATTAATTTTTCAAATCATCAAGTACATACCAAACATGCCATAATTGTTAATTTAGTGGTTAAAATATCTGGTAATCATGTAATATGAGTTCTGATTATGATCATATATGAATGTTGGTGCTAAATTAAATCGTGGTTCTAATAGTATGCTTTGGCCTTTGACACATATATGTACTGTATATGGTCCTATGAAGCCGTGCTAAAGTAGTGTGTGTGAATGTGATGAGCGCAATCTTCCCAATCGATCATTGTGAATTGTGGATTAGCAGCCAATTGCTTGTACCTGTTTTTTATGCATAGAATCCATAACTAGCTAGCGTTTCAGGTTCGGTTAGAAGTAACAACCTCAATATGCTCTCCAAAAACCAAGACTTCCGTTGCAGTTCTAGATAACTGTGCCAACTGACATGAAGAACAAATATTTAAGTAAAAAATTCAAATTAAAGAAAAAGCGAATCCAAAAAACAAAAGACAGAAAAACGTAATGATAAAAAGAATACAGGCATGCTGCGAGAGGGAATTTTTTTTTTTTCAGAAAAGAGTCTTGATAGCTTCCTCTTCATGATCAAGATAGGTAGCATGTGAAAGCTCCTTTATCCACTCAAACGTTCGATGACTTGACATAGCTTGCTTTCCTTGCTGCTGCTGATGCTTTTGCACCATTCTTTCCTTCATCTTCAACTCGTGCAGCTTCTCCTCTAGCTCTATGGGCCCTCTTTTACTTTTATCATTATTGTCATTTCCGGCACTACGAGTACTACTAGTACTCTTACTGCTTTTCACGACAACAATATTGTTCAATGGAACTGGTTTCACGGCACTAACTGAACAGCTGCAACCACTTAATAAACCTCCTCTTTTCTCCAACAAACTCTGTTCCTCCATCTTCTTCCCAATACTATCACTACTCACATTCTTCATCTTGCGACCACTTTTACTACTGTCACTGCTAACCTTAATTTTGCTACTCTTCTTGATGATTGTATTACTGTTCCTGATACTAGAGCTACTGTTCATACTAACAGAATTACGAACCTTAAGATCTTGCAATTCAATCTCTGGTGTACGGACCAAACCCAGTCTAAAAAAGTCCCAAACTGAAGAATTTCTTGGTCTGTTACTCGCTGCAATATTTCCCAGTGATGTACTGGAAAGTCTAATTAGAGGCTTTGGACTTGGATGGGTTAGGAACTGGTTTTCAATTATTGGCTTTATCAGTCTTGTGCTGGCAATAGCAGTGTTTGTGCTGCTGCTGCTTGATGAGTAATGACTTCTGCTACTACTGCTTCTGCTACTGAAACTTGTGAAACCCCCAAGTGAATTGTGGTCCATGGACTCTGACCTTGATGGGGATTGGCTTGGGTTCAAGCTGCTATCATTCTTGAACTTGTTTACACCACTTTCTGAGCTAACTGAGAGACGAAGAGGGAGAATTTGACCTTGAAAGAAAATATCATCAGCTGCACACATATCTGATTTGTTAGAAAGAGAGCCATAACCACCCCTGCAGGGATCAAAGTCGAAATCTTCTTGATTTGTTTCAGCTTCTTGATGAGCTTCTGGATCTCCCCTTGATTGGCTGTTCTCTTCTTTCACCATATTGACTGGTAAATCACAGAGGGATAATGCTTCTCCTTCTTCTTCTTCTTCTCCTTCTTCCTCTGGATTACTACGGTCTGAAAGCTCCCATTTCTCTTCTGAGGAACTTGTTGTCATTTTTACAAGGTAAGATTAAAGGTTTTGTTCAAATACTGTTGGGGTCCTCCTGTGGCTGTGAAGTAACAAAACCATAAAGAGATTAAGATTTATATAGACACAAAGAAGAAGGTATAAATATTTAAATATGAGAAAGAAACATAGATTTTGAATAAGGTTGCATATGAGAGAGGCAGAGACAAGTGGAATGAATATAAAGAAGTAAAAGCATTCAAGAAAAGAATAGAGAAATGGATAAGTCAGTGTGTTGCAGGCTACCCATATAAACCTTTTTTCTTTAGCTATATGGGACCAAAACACAAACTGTAGCTCCGTAGCAGGCCATTACCTGCGCTAGAATGTCTGATCTCTCATTTTCAGAATAATATTAGAGGAGGGTGGTGCCCATGTGGGGCTAGGGACAGTTCTGGCATGAGAAATTTTTGTATGGTAACTTTCTGTTTCAGAAATTTTTGTATGGTAACTTTCTGTTTTCTTTTGCAATTTTGGAAATGCAAGTCAACTCACAGCGTCAAGCTATGTTGGACAGCTTTGTTCGGCACTAGAGGTTTAATAGGGATATTCATTTTATGGATCAAACTGTTTGGTTTTATTTGCTAAGGGATGTCAATGTTCAGGGTATCCAGCGCATTTAAGTCAACCATTTATCCTACTTACTAAAAAAAATTATATTCATTATTCTATTTATTATTTATTAAAAATTATTTATTAATTTTTTATTCATCACATATCTATTATATCGTACGTTGTCTATGTCTTATCCATATCCGTTTATCCATCAATTTTTAAAATTTTAATTCATTTTTTAAGTTTTAATTCATTTTAAAAAAATATTTAGGCGTGCTTCCCTTTTTACCTTTTTTTTTCTTCGTTAAAAATATTATAAAATCTATTTCTTCCTTAAAAATTGAAAAAAAAATTATAAATTCTGAATGTATAAATAAGCAAACTATTGATAGTTAATTTCAATTAATCATTAATGTAAAATTTTACATTTAATACAAATTTCAAATTAATTTTGAGGTTAACTCGGTTTAAAATCCTAGTCACATTAAGATATGAATTTGACAGCTTATAAAGGCATTGTACGTTGAGTATTAAAAAATAACTTAACATGTAGAAAATGTTGACCAATTTAAATTGATAGATTATGGCAAATATTTAATAGAGAAATTCCTTTGATGAAATTTCAAATTCATTTTCAATCAATTAAAAAATGATTCTATTTTTTTTTTCATCAAAATGTTAAAAGAGTAAAATTTTGATTTGAAAAGTTATGGAGCCATAAATCTTCGGTTCTATTCTATAAAAGAAAAATTATTTAAGTTTTAATTCATTTTTGTCATAAGTTGTTTATGAAAAAGTAATCCACAAAAAGAAAAGTAGTCATAAGAATTCTGCAAAAGCTTAGTTATTTATTTTATTCAGAATTTAAATCTTTTTTAAAAAAAGTTAAATATATGCTAACATGGCATTAAAAATATTCGTTATGTTAATTAGACGATTATGTAACGAAAAATACTTTTGGAAAGTAAGTTTAATAATGCCATCTTTTAATAAATAAGTTTTACCACCTCACCATGGGTAAATATTGTGGTAAATCTGGAACTAAAACACTAAGATTTCAAACTTCTTTTTTCTTTTTCTTTTTCTTTTTCTTTTTTTATTCTTTAACAATAATGGTTATCTCAAACCAATTTTTTCAGGTCAAGACGGGTTTCTCTTTCTTTTTTTTGGGACCTTTAACATTTTATATTATTGCATTAAAAAAAAATCATTTTTCATATAAATTTTGTGTTTTAATATTTTTTTTTTTATATTAGTAGGTAAAAGATGAGTATCAATAAGGTAAAAAGATGATACTCATATTCATAAATAAATTATTTATTAATATAAATGAGTTATCTTATTTTATTCATATTTAGCCTATTAACCATTAGAGTATTTTAAAACGATAATTAATGAGTGGATTGAGCAGGATATCTATTTTGTATCCGACACGCTATCATTCCTAGAGAAAGGCAAACTAGATTTCCTTGTGTATAAAGTACGCTTGTATATTTGAGATGGAGGCTAATTGAGGTTGGATAGTAGGGGATTTGTGAGGTTTTTATTGGATGATTTTAGAGTCGGTGGGTGGGATTATTATTTTTGTGGTGGATTTTGGTTGCAACAGGGTTGAATGTTTTGTCATGGAAAGCTTGTGATTATTGAGATGGAATGTGACTAAGGGATCTATATCTTTAATTCTGCTTTATAATAGAAAGGACGTTTTACCTTACCGACCCTGCATAAAAGCAATGGCTTGAATTGAATTGCATTGGCTGGAAGCACTGAAAAAAATAAAAACTAATACCTGACGAATCAGTAGCTTGATGGATTATTGTTTTAATCGAATTTAAAAACATTGGGTACAATATAAGATTCAGATCTCTAAATGAAAACGTCAAATGACGTGTTGGCCCAAAAACTACATAAAAAATAAACCACTGATATTTCTGGCCAATCAATTATATAGTCAGAAGACTTTTTATTTATTATCTTACGGTCAACTTAGCCCATTTGTCATGAAATTAAAATTTTAGACCCATCAAATTAAAAGCCCAAGATTTAACAGGGGCAGATGAACCGCTGTAGAAGAGTTCCAGTTCACAAAAGATAGAAGAGTAATTAGTGGAGCATCTACTGAATTCAGTGATCAACTCTAATGCAAAGAATAACCGGACTCATTGCACCCTGATGTGATGTTCTGTTTTCTGAAGGGAAAGGAGCTTAAAAAAGTAAAACTTGAAAGAGCCTGTCGACGAGGTCCACTTTGCACCACCAACACATTGCTACAACGTTGGACACGAGAAAAAACTGTTGAATTGGACCACAGTAACCCAATCGTCCGGTCGGCTCCAAACGCACCTATGCGGTATTCAATTACCGTACACGATTATTCTTATTGTTCTATCAAAAATGGGAGAAAAATTACACTTATGAGGAACAAATTTTAGTCTTCTACCATCCAATATGATACTTTAAAAAAATTGTTTATTTTTTATTTATATTTTTAAAAAATATTTATCTAATCAATATTTTAAATAATATCATATTTTCAAAATAATTTTAATTAAAATTCATTTTGTAAAAAAAAATTCTAAATATAATTTTTTAAAAATGTAAATAAAATATATCGATATAACATAACAATTAAAAAAAATTGAGATGGGAGTAACAGCATAGAATCCAAATAAAGAGAGTACATTTTCATCTAAAAAAGAAATCAATCCACAAATGCAACAACACCTCTCCAAGCCCATAAAAAAAACATAACTCTAAAAGCACATCACACTAAAAGTAGGAAATTCATGAAACTTTTGCTTCTTAAACAAGAATTAACATTAGTAAAAGATTAAACTTTAACCCAACTAGTTCAAGCCTTTAATAAAATACATGCATGGTTGAAGTTACAAATATTATAAAATCATAACAAACAACCTAACGCAAGAAATGGGTTTGTTAATAAACAAAAAGTTATTATTATTATTATTATTATATATGAAAGGTTAGTAAAAGATAAAAACTTTAACCCAATTAATTCAAGTCTTTAATAAAATACATGCATGCTTGATTTTACAAATATTATGAAATTGTAACAAACAACCAAACGCAAGAAATCAGTTTGTTAATAAACAACAAGTTATTATTTAACATATATATGTGTGTGGAAACTCATAATTTTTTTATTAAAAAAATATATATTATATGATATTTAACCCTCAGATGAGAAAGCTCCACCAAAAATAGTGGGTGCATCATTGGCACCAACACCACAGCTAACCTTGTACGAATGCTCCTCCATTTTCTTTTAGTTTGTGTTTATATTTCAATCCTAATTTTTCATATCATTTATGTTTAAGTGATCCTGTTTCATTTGATTCACATTTTAATCCTTAGTAGTCGAAAGATCAGAGAATCAATGAGAGAGAATGTCTTTTTCAATCATGTCAATTGCTACCATTGGAATTAGAGGTGTTCGTTCGATTTCGAAATATTTTAAACGGTTTCGATTAATCAAATTTCAAAAAAAAAAAAAATTGAAACTAACCAAAATATTATTTGGTTTCAAAATATTTTGATTTTGGTGTTCGATAATTTAGTTTTTACCTATTTTATTTTATTTTATTTTATTCTACAAATTGCTGATTCTATTAAAATTTCGAAATCTCTTTTTAGAATGGGTTTCTTTATGCTTTGTGGTCCACTAGTTAAGAAACTAAGTTGTATCCAAAAAAATAACAAATATATTGGTAAATAAACAAATAATAAATTGTCTACTTAAGAAGAGTAAAATCGGAGACGATAGAAAATCTACCAACATTTTTGCTATTTTATGTACACCCGGACTTATAGCAAAGATAAAAAGAGCACGTATGAAACTCGTGAGAGAAAGTGCATCTAGGGGAGAAGAATTTTTCAATTTGAGGGTGTAGCTAGTCATCTAATATATATATATATATATTAAAAATTTTGGTTTTTCGGTTAACAAAAAAATTTTAAAAAAAATGAACTCGAACTTGAAAACCGAAATTATTTCGATTTAATTTTTTAATTTCTAAAATAAACCACATCAAAATTGATATTTTGATGCGAGTTTGATTTTTTTATTTAGTTTTTATCAAATAGTGAACACTCCTAATTAGAATGCACTAGCTAGTTACTCATGCTACATTGCGAGACAAGACTAATTGTGCTAAACGAAGAAATCATTAAAAAAAAAAAAAGGATTCACTTATCGAGAAAGATAATAAAGAACACTTAAATGTGTCTAACATATAGAAATGCGATTATATATGTGAAGAAAATTATTTGTAAAAATTTTGTCATTTGATTCAACACATAAAAAAAAAAAGGGTATAATCCTTTTTTATTTCTCATAGCTTTCTTCATATTCGAACTCTCCATACTCAAAGTTTTATGTTATCACATCCGTAGACGAAAAAAAAAGAGAAGAAGAAGAAGCTTATGGTATTGTACAAATAACTCAAAGTTGTTTTTGCAATTAATGCAATCTATAATCATCATGTTAAACATAATACCACTTCATCTTCATTTTTTATTTATTTAAATTATGAGCGTAAACAATATTTTTAAATTATCAAAGACAATAAAAAAAAATTCTTATGTTATGCATCAACTTGAAGTTTTTAATAGCATGTATAAACAACCTTTTTTGAGCAACGAAGGAAAATTGTCAACATGAATTTTTAAAGCATGCTTCATATCTCATACAAAACATCAATTGATGACAACTTTCAATATTAACAGTATTACATTACACAAACTCGGTTTACATCACTTTCAAAAGTAAGTCGCATTACATTTTTTAAAGGAGTAAGGTGATTGGTATAATTTGATAAAGAAGAAGTTGGAGCTAGATAAAACCTATGAAACTATAAAATAGATACCTAAAATCATTGCAATCGAAAGGAAAATAAGAATTTTCATCATAAAAAAAAAAAAAAAAAAAAAAAAAAAAAAACTATATAGAAGAGGGTGAGAGCGATAAAAAGATAGGATACAACAAACTAGAGGTCATGATATGTCCGGCTCGGGCAAAATGCTAAAAGCAAGCACTAACTACTACGGGAAAAGACATTAAAATAAAAGGCAAAAATACAACATATTACAAAATCTCTCAACAAACAATATTTATCAAGTAATGAATAATTTTACAAATAGAAGGTAGAAGAACTTAAAATAAATAAGAAAGATAAAGAAGAAATTACGGTAGTCGAAAAAAAGTTCCACATAACGTATTATCAAAACAACACATAGCATTGTAAATATATGCATTCAATAGCAAAAAGGGACACCAAGTAGCTACTAAAACATAAAAACAATCATCAATAGCCAAGTAAAATGTGCAGTAGAGTAGCTAAAATTGTTATAAGGAAAATAACATCAAAGGAAAAAAAAGCAAAAACTTTGAAAAGAAAAAAAAACACATTGTTGAAGAAAAATAAATACAACGACCGCAAAAAGCAAAGAAACAACAAAATGCACCCAAATAATTAAAAAATTATTTAGTAGAAAAAAAATTAAATACGGACCTTGAGCCCAAAGTTCAACCTCCAAAGTTTGATTCTTCGATCACAAAAACAAAAGAAAATAACATAAGATCAAAACTACAAAGTTAATCCAACAAATCTAAAAACAAACAAAAGAAAGAAACTAACCTAAGAAAGAATATCAACGATACCAACATCATGCCGACAATTAAAAAAAAAACATCATTTAAGAATCAAATATTCAACGGGCCCAAAATGATAAAATCTTCCTCAAAACAATAAAGGTTTTTTATTGATTCTATGTCATTGAAGGCAACAATGAAAAAAATTGAATAAAATTGGCAAGCTACCTATAAATTTGTCTTGACCATAAACCCAAAAAGAGAAAATGAGGTAAAGGGCATGAAAAAAACTCACATGTTTTTGTGAAATCATAACATAACTGATCGCTATCCAACGAAATAGCCTAAACATATAAATAAGAAACATTGGGGGGAAAAAAAAGGAAGAAGACATAAAAAAAAATGTCATATATATATATTGCAAAATAACAACAAAACTCATTGTTATCCGAAGCACGTCAATAGTCTAAGCAAATAAATAAGAAAAAAATGATTAAAAAAATTAGCAAAATTCATTATAAAGAAAGACAAAACTAAAACTAACTATGACAACCAAAGAAAAAAAAATTAAAAAGCATCACTTACGAGGTAGAGAAAAATAATAATTTCAATTGACCCATTAGTGAAAGAAAGTTCAAAGGAGAGAGAGAAAAATTAAGCATAATGAGCAAGTGTCAAAAGAAAAAAAAAACTTATGTAATTGTTAAAAAAAAAAAATGTTGCTAAAATCAATTGAGATAGGACAAGAAATGGAATAACTAAAGGCTCAACTTCCACTACTCGGAATAACTAAAGTTTTGGATATTTGTCATCAATAAGATAACCATAAAAATTCATTATAGGTAAAATACATGTGATTTTACATTGCTATGGAGCAAAATGGGATCCACTTGTATCAAATTCATAAATAGTTTCCATGTACATAATGAAGCGACATGTAGCACTACATTATTACTTGCTCTAAAAAACATGTCTCTTTCATGGTATACATCATAGACTCATCATTATGAACAAAATTAATCGAGTTTTACCGAAAAAAATTCGTACTCATATCTTCAAAAATAATGAAATTGATTTTAGGCTCTAATTGATTATTTTAAACAAAAAATGTTACTTATTTGGTTTCATTATATTGCAACAAACTTTATTTGTCCTAACAAAAACTTTCATTTGAAAATTTACTTCGTTTCATTTAGAAAGCCAAAAAAATTATAATTGAATTTTGAAAAACGAAAAGATTTCTCAAACTCGTATTTGAATTTGAAAAAAAAAATCAATTGATTATAATTTTAGAGAATCATTCAAATTCGTAAAATAAGAATGTATTATGAATTAAGATCAAGTCACATGGTCATAAGACCTTCTATCCTTAAGAATTCGGATGGTTTCCTAATATAACGAGTAATGGAAATATTCTTTGAAATTTAGGGTAGTAATTTGAGAAATTTTTAATTCAATCGGAGATTAATTAAAACTTCACAAAAATTTCAAGTGCATTTCATATTAAATTTAAGCCAAAAAAAAAAAAATTGTCACTCGTGTAGCCATGAAAAGCTTGATCCATGGTTAATATAAAACTTTATATTGAAATAGATAAAGAATTTAATAATGAATTTAAGCTTGAACCATGACTTATGAATGAAAATTTAATCTTGTAAAGCAAAAAAAAAAAAAAGGGCCAACTTCATGAAATTAAGCAAATCAAAGAATAAAGGGGTAGCTTAAACAAACAGGTAATTAATTCCACAAAATAAATTAAGTTTTGAACATGCTAAAAACACTCATCAATCTACAACCTAGGTTTGTTTTATTTTTTAAATGGCTTGAAGAAATTCGTACTCAATTTTAATTAATAAGGTAATAATAGAGCCGGTAAACATCCAAGGATGGGCATTATTATTCGAGTTGCTAGGTTAAATACATGTGATTCTATATTGCTATGGAGCAAAATGGGATCCACTTGTATCAAATTCATAGATACTTTCCATGTACATAATGAAGCGAGCATGTAACACTCATTCCTTCTCATATCATTATTTCGGAGAAAACGTTTGGTAAATGGCAACGAAACATGCATAAACGTAGATCACAAAGGAAGTTTAATCATAAAAAACATGTGTACCTTTCTAGCTATCTCATTGCATTTGCCTATAAGAGTGTGAGAAGGAATCAAATACAAAACTCTTTATTTCCTAATGCCGAACCGACGGGAATCTAGGGGGAAAAAAAAAAAGAAACCCAACCGGGTTAGTACAAAGTACCTTCATTTTCCCATATATCAGCCATCCCGAACCTAAAGCGAGCACCATCCTAGAACAATAAATACAATGTAACGCCCCGCCCCGAGTCATATTTCTACTACCCAAGTAGGGTATTGGACGAAGCGCGTTACGCCGACATACCCTAAACTTTAAGTAGTTTTCTTATGATATCTTAGAACTTTAATAGTACATTACGTATATAATTCCTTAAGATAAAATTTACATAACATAATTAAATACATTAATAAAATATTACGAGCAATATTCAATTTCTCACGAACTCCATACCCCAAATTTACGTACAAAATAAAAACTAATATATGGTGCCTCACATGAGCTAGTTAGGAGGAGCCGACCGTATCCGTTCCAACTTGTCCTTTTTCGTCAAGACATAAAAAAAATAACAACGAGGTAAGCCGAAGCTCGGTAAGCGGGGTGATGCACGTGATATGCAATGTTGTTTTGACTTCCCACCGGACTCATAAATTTTAATCTCGGGTACCTTGAGTATTAGCCGATCTACTCTATTTATCATCCGGGTGGTCCGCGGATCACTTTTTGCTACAACGGAATTATCCTTCATTGTAACTACTCGTTAGCGAAAATCCATCGTCTAACGGTGCAAGCACACAACTTGATTTCATCCGGATGATCCTCGGATCATCTTCCGCTACAACGGAATTATCCCTCGTTGTAACTACTATTAGCGAAAATCCATCGTTTGATAGTGCGAGCACACATCCTAGAGTACTTGGACTACTAATACCCATTTATTCCGATTAGGTTATCAAACCTAGATGTATAAACCATTTCTCAATTAATTGACTTGTCTTAAACCATCCACTATGCACATGATGCACGTGATGACATATTTAATCACATTCAACCAAATTCGGGTACCAACCCTTCATTCTCATGCCATACTCATGGTCCAACCCACACTCGGAATTTATCCGTTGCTCACATACCAATCATAATACTCATAGTGGGAACATAACTCCGCTCATTAATATTGTTAATTAGTTTCGTTAATATTTAAAAGAAGGTCCAAGTTCATTTACTTTAATCCGAGCCCATTAAATTTATCCTAGGTCCATTGACTCTATTTAATTCCATTTTATTTAGTCCAAGCTCATTTAGTTTATTCCAAACCTATTAATTTTGTCAAAGTCTAATTTTTTTGATTTTAGGGTTTATTACCGGGCAACTCCTAATCGAATAAATAATTTTCTAATTTCAGAACATAATTAAATCTTACTCATTTTATTTTAGATACTAGACATATTTATTTATAACATATCAAAAAATTAGGTCTAAATACCAAGTACACAATTAATTATAAATTTTTAAACTTAGGGAGCAATCCGCCTACTAGTAGTTTATCTAGAGCTATTCATGCTAAATCGGGTGTAACTCTTTGTACACGAATCCAATGAACAAGAACTTTTAAAGGAAGTTAGTTGAAACATAGATGAACAACTTTTATGCTTTAAGTTTCACCTAGAAATCGATCTAAAATCCCGGAACATTATCACAATGAAGCACTTTCTCCCCGTGTTTCTCAATTTTTCACTTCATAGAAAGATCTACAAAAAGCAATAGCTAGGAATTAGAGACATCACTAATTAAATAGAACAATAATAAAAATAGGTAAACTCCCATCAACCGAAGGGGAGTAAACCGACTCATGAATAAAAATACGGATAGCGTTAAATGGTTTTTTTTTTTTTTTTTTGCTAAGAGAAACGAGAAAAAGATAGATGAGATGGGAGGAAGAAATGCATTGTTTTGGCCAAGAGAAATGAAAAATAATATATGAGATGAGAGGGAGAAAATGTGTATGAGAGAAGAAACTAAGATTTTCTTGTGGTGGTAGATCTCTAGGTGTGTGAAAGAGAGAAATAAGAGAAAGAGGCCAAAAGATGAAGATGGAGTCCTAATCACATTGAGATAAAAATGAATTTATATATCATGATCCAATGGTTATGATTGTTAGGGTTTTAGATGGATGGCTAAGATTAAAATAAAGAACTTAACAAAATACCATTAGAAAAAACCAAAATTACAATAATACTTGTGAATAGTATTAATGAGTCACAATAAATAGTAAATGAATAGTCACATATTCAGCTGCTTTAGTTTAGTTTAGTTTGTTTTTTTTTTTTTTTTTTTTTTAATGTGTTCAGATTGGCTATAAGAATTGTTTGACAGCGGTGGCAAGTCCCGATATAATAAATAAATAAATGAAGGATATGTAACCCCAATAAAACGATGCATGGTCAGCTTAGTTTTTCGTCTGTAATTATTTGAAGGCCAAGCACTTGAACCTCTTCTACCAAGCACAGGCACCCATGGGCTAGGCTTCCTAGCCCATGCTTTCTTTTCTCTCTCTTTTTTTTTTTTTTTTTTTCATTGTTAAAATTTTAATTCCAATCAAATTATTAAAACAATGTAAAAAAAAAAAAAACACATACTACCATCATACTTTTAAAATTAGATTAGAGTATTTGTTATACTAATAGATGCTTATTATGTTAGTCTAATTAGTCAGAAGGTTTCCTAAACTTCTGGTCGAATCCAACTTAACTACTGACTTTTTTTTTTTTTTTTGGAACGAACTATTAGGTCCAAATTTCACAGTTTGAGAAATACTTTGGCAAGATTATGGCAGTAGTAATAATATTTTCTGAGTTGTATTTCATCAGAATCACTATTTATTTTTAAGAAATATTATTCTAATAAAATTTGTATTCCTAATTAGTCTAGTTTCGCTTCAAAGTTTAACTGGTTATTTCGTCTAATATTCTATATAAATATAAAATATTCTCATTGTGATTATTTGATCAGCCCCAATACATATATTTTTCTCTTGCAAATTTATCTTCTTTATATCTGTAATTTATTTTTGTAAGTTTATCGTTTTTTTTTTTTTGGGGGTTTTCTTTACCGCTTTTTGTAGTCTAAATATTAGCTTTTTTAGATTTTCTCTACCGAAAAACCTTTATAGTATATTAAGCTTTTCTATTTTAAAACATTAGCTCTTTTGTTTGGTTTAAAACTCTATTAGTTTTCTACTGTTTTTTTAAAGCATTAATTTTTTATTTGATCCCTTTTGACTTAATTCTTATTTTGACTATATGTTCATGGAACTTGTATTCATTTAATTGCGAGGTAGTTATCATCTCTTTACAAATTAAGTCCTAAGTATTATTGCATCCAGCTTATCAAAAGAAGAAAATTTTAACTGGTAACACTCTCCTACCCTCTCTCATTATCATATCCTATTTACATGTTATATCTGATTCTCCAAGATAGTTAACAAATTATAAACAAGAATTCTAATAATAATAATGATAATAAATCTCATATAATTAGAATGAGAGTTTGATGGCATGACAAGTTCAACATTACTTGTAGTTTGATTATTTACGGATTGAAACTCCATTAATCATATCTAATCATACCGAATGTGCTTTTGATGACATTATCACTAAAAAAAAATATTGATAGAGAGAGAATTAGAGATGTTAAAAGTTTTGAAAAAAAAAAAGAAAGTAAAATTCATTTGAATCTAGATTTTCTTTCACATGTAATATTGACAAATAAAAAGTTGGTGCTGTTGTTATTGCTAAGTAATAATAGAAATTGAGAGCATTGAGAGATTTCTTGAAAGAGTCAATGGCATCAAATGTCCCTTTATTTTTTTTTAATTTTTTTAATATGATCGTTGTATTTTTTTTATTTAACTCTTTCTTGTATTTTTTATTTTTTTTTAATATTATATCTACGACTGTTGTTCAACTAATTTTTTGATTAAAATTTAAAACTGACATTAAAAAAAATCTACATACCTTGTCATGTTAGACTAATTTACCAATGGCAAATTTTTTTAAAAAAAATAGCTAAAAAAATTGAAAATTAAAAAAAAAAGATATGAAAATAGAAAAAGGAAAAAAAAAGAGTAATAACACTAACTGCTTCTGTCTCTCTCTCCTCTGTATTCTGTGATGACAGAGATTTGTTCTTCCACAAAGATTCCCAATCACTCTAATCTCTTATCTTCTTCTTGTTTTTTTTTTTTCTTTTTTTTTTTTCGTTTGATTTTTTCACTGAAAAAGAAAATTAAGAAGAAAAAAGTTAGGAAAAAAATAATTACAAAATGCGTTTCTCTCTCACTCCTGTATCTTCAACAGATTTGTTCTCCCAAACTTCAAAGGTTGGTTACTCCCCTGAGATTGCAAAGGAAGCATGGAAGAATATCTGACAAGAAGAAGAGAATCACAAAATCTAAGGCCGAGGCAGTTAAGTATCAGAACCTTTTTGCCACTAGGTTGAAGGAGCATCGGGAGAGCCTAGTAAAGAAGAGATCTAGACTTTCTTTTGCCTTGACGCCCTCAATTGTGGCTTAAGAGTTGTGTAATTTGGTCAAGGAGTAATGTAGTGCTAAATTTCTTCAAAAGCTCGAGGTAATTTTGATTCTTTTTTATATTTTTGGATTAGCTAGGGTTAGTTTGAATTTTTAGATTTTGAAAAATTTTAGGCATCTCAGATTTTTGTCTTGCTTCCATTATTTTGTGGAATTTATAATTTTCATCCTGATATCCTCGGCTTATTTTGTCGATTCTCTTCAAAATGAAGCAAACCATATTGTTTTATTCAAATTTTGTTTTGTTCAAAATTTTGCTTCCAAAATTTAGAATGAAACTTCCATTAGGACGTGCTAAATTTGGCTTCTTGGAACATACTAAAGAGAAGGAACCAGTGGTGAAGATATGTTCTTTCACGACCCTGGAGTGGACAAAAATCAAGGAAACGATGATGCCTATCTCGACCCAAATTGACTTCGAATATCTAAATTTAAATCTTTAAACCTTTAGCACATCAAATATCATTTTAATTTAAAATATCCTAACCTAATAATTATTATTTAGAAACTCCAATACGATGATAATTCAATACTATTCTTACATTTCGTAAATCAATATACAATCAATTTCTAATACAACTCCTATAAGATATAACTATAGAGCTTCTAAAAACTACAAGAAATCAAATTATAAGTTCTAAGAGATTAAAAATAAATGATTTGCACAATCAATATGCCAACTTCAAGACAACAGACTTTGTAGAAGCAAAAAGATAAGCTCATAAACCCTACAAAATTGAAATAGTGGAGTATGAGAAATCAACAACTCAACAAGTAGATATTATATAACATAATAAGGAAAAAAACGAACTAAGAATGATAATTTAAAATTTAGCTCAAGATGCAATGATTGTTTCTCCAAAACAATGCATATCATAAATACCATATCGTATGTCATTACCTAAATGGTTCAAAACTAATTCATATCAAATCATTAAATCATATTTATATCATAATCAAATTACATATCTAGGTTTTTATTTACACTTAGGGTGAAAAATATAATGTATCATTAGATGCGATCATCTAAAGATTACGCCCCTCATGACTAGGTTTTCGTATGTTGATCAACACATGGGATAGCTCTATACCTCTTCTCGCTAGCTAGAGCTTTATATCATTGAGCTCAAAGGCTACGCCCCCGTAGCTAGGTACCCGAAGGTCATAAAAACATATTCAAAACCATATAGACTTATACATATTTTAAAATATTCTAATCCAAGTATATCAAAACAATGCAAGCTCAAAATCGGATAGATAACGCAATTCTATATCAAATAAACTTTAACAAAAAATTATACAAATAATCAACGGAATAGTCCAAAGTAAATTTACATTTAACTTTGTAATTTCATATCAAACCATAAACAAAGCACTTGTTCAAATATAAGCTCAAATCCCTTTTTAAATCATACCAAATCAATTTCAATATGAAATCAATTCAAACACACAAGAGTCCTTTCCTATTTAAGTTCTAAGAAATGTGATTAAATTGTAGTTAAACTAAAGATGCATGATAGACATAATCGGAGGAATTTTAAAGCATAATATACGATATGATATCCACTCACAGTAAAAATGAAGAATCGAACAAAATCAAGGTTATTAAGATGGAGTCGCTTACTCCAAAGAATCTAATAACATAAGATGGTAGAATAATCTTAATATCACATATAAAAGAATAATTCAAAACAAATGTTATTCTAGAAATAAGAATACAATATTATCTATAAAAATGGAATTGATCGAAAGAATAAAAAAGATGACTTTAACTAAACTTTATAACCTCTCCAACAATCCAATTATCCATCATTAATCCTCGGTTCAATCAACCTTCATGCATACTATCTTTTCTCAAATTCCATTCAAACTTTTAAATAATTAATTCTCTATTAAATCATCAATTCTATTATAATTTACTCAATTCTCATTACATTCATCTTTAATTGCATTTATATAACTTAATTCTTCATTTTTTTTAATTTCTTTTCAATTCAAAACCCAATTTTAGATTTTTCACTATTTTTCATCTTCAACCCCTCAATTAATCAAATTTACTCCATTCTACTTCAAATTAATTTCATAAACTATTCACATAAAGTAATTAAACATCTTATAATCACTTAATAATTTTTTTCCAAATGGGTCTTAAAATCCTAACATCAATCTAACTCAATTCTTCATCCAAACAACAAGTCTAATGGAATTCAACTTCAATATCATTAATAACTACATATAAACATCATAATTTAATGATCAAATGATCGGATTTCTTACCTTTGAGAATTGATTCTTCAAACCCTAAATCAATCCTAACTCTCCAAGCTTTTTAAGCTTTAATATAAATAAGCTCCACTTAAATCGACTTGTTTATGGTTTTTCTAAGCCAATTTAACAAAGTCTTAGCTTAGGATTTGAAGGAGAGAATTGGGAGAAAATTTAAGGAGAAATACATGAGAAGGAGATGAGAAGAAGAAAGAAAAAGTAAAAAGGTAGCATATGTCCTTTTTTTATATATTGTCCTTTTTTTTAAATTACTAACTTAAATATTATTTTAGGACGGGTTATAACATTCTCTCCCTTTAATAAAATTCATCCTTGAATTTAATTCTAACCATACCTTAGTAGGTGAACAAGTGAGTATACTTTCTCCTTATTTCCTCCTCAACCTCTTAAGTGGCTTTTTCGATCGAATGGTTTCTCCAAATGACCTTAATACACACAATCTTCTTATTACATAATTTCTCAACTTAATGGTCTATTATTGCCACCGGTTGCTCCATATATGACAAGTCAAGATTTAAATCCATCAATTATGATTCTAAGATAGAAGATAAGTTGGATACATATTTCTCTAGCATGAAAATATTAAACACATGCAAGCACACTCGAAAACTATGACAAGCAATGCCGACTTATAAGCCACTACTTCAATTCGATCAATGATCTCTTATGGCCCAATATATCTCGAGCTCAGCTTTCCCTTCTTATCAAACCGCATTACTCCCTTCATCGAAGAAACTCAAAGAAACATAAAATCATCATTTTAAAACTCGATATGTCTCGATATGTCTCATCTTAGGATCCGTATAACTCTTTTGCCTATTATGTGCAATCCTAAGGCATTCTTGGATCAACTTCATCTTTTTAGTAGTGAGCTTAATCAACCCCGGCTATGAGGGTTCCTTTTCCTTGACTTTTGTCCAACATATTAGCGATCTACACTTTTGGGATACAAATCCTCATATAGTGTCATATTGATACTAGAGTGATAACTATCATTGTACAAGAATTTGATCAATGGTAAGTGGCGATCCCAATTGCCTTTTAAATCCATCACACATATTCTAAACACACCCTATAAGGTCCGAATCATCATTTCGATTAACCATTTATTTAAGGATGGAATGTTGTATTAAAGTATAATCTCATACCAAGAGCCTTTTACAATTACCTTTAGCATTAAAAAATAAACCGAGTACCTTGATTTGAATAGATAGAGATCGAAATGCCGTGTAAAGATGTTATTCGATCAATATATAATTGAACATATTGAGCATACCCATATGTAGTCTTTATAGACATGAAATGAGTGGACTTAATCAATCTATCCATAATAACATAAATCGAATCATAACCATTTTGGATTCATGGCAAACTCATTACAAAGTTCGTTATCACTCTGTTCCACTTTTCCTCTAGTAGTGGCAACTTCTAAAACATTCATGTTAGCCTTTGATGCTTATATTTTACTTACCGACAAGTCAAACACCTTGAAACAAACTCCATAATATAATTCTCCATTCCATTCCACCAATAGTGCTCACAAAGATCATTATACACTTGACATAGCCAAGATGTATAGAATAAACCATAGTGAGCCTCTCAAAATCTATTCTCTTAACTTTGGATGCTTTGGAACACATAACCTTCGATGAAACCATAAAGTACATCTACCATCAACTCTAAAACCAAAAATTTTTCCCTTTTGCATCTTAGTGAAAATCTCTTGTATTTCTTTATCGATCACTTAGACCTCTCGGACTTGATCCATCAAAACTAGCCTAACCATAATATGGGATAAAAGATCACTCGACTCACTAAATCCAAACACCACTCTAGAATATCATAATCTATTCACTTTCAATTTTAGCGACCACTTTTCCTTCGATAAATGAGCCAAACTCTCAACTAACTTCCTACTCAAGACATCAACTACAACATTAGCTTTACTTGAGTGATACAAAATAATATAATCATAATCCTTAAGTAACTTCATCCACTTTCTCTACCTTAAATTGAAATCCTTTTGATCAAATATGTACTTAAAAATTTTATGATCTATGTAGATCTCACAAGTCTTTCCATATAAATAATGATTCCAAATCTTTAAGGAAAAAACCAAAATTACCAATTTTAAGTCATGTATGAGGTATTTACGTTCTTGTTTCTTTATTTGTCTTGAAGCATAAGCTACTACCCTACCATAATGTAATAATAAACACCTTAACCCTACTCTTAAGACATCACAAAATATAAAAAATCACTACTATTCAAGGGTAAGGTAAGACTAGTATCGTGGTCAAATATGTCTTTAGCTTTTGAAAGCTCTCCTCATACTTATTTGACTATTGAAACTTCATATTATTCTATGTCAACTTAGTCAAAGGTGTTGTAACTCTCGAGAAGTCTTGCATAAACCTTCGATAATACCCAACCAAACTCAAAAGGCTATAAATCTTGATCACCAAAATAGGCCTCAACTAATGGGTTACCATCTTTACTTTCTTCGAGTCAACTATAATCCTTTCTTTAGACAAAATGTGTCACGGGAATGTCACATTCTCTAACTAGAATTCACACTTCAAAAACTTAGCATATAATTTATGATCTCTCAATGTCCGCAACACTCACCTTAGATAATTTACATACTCCCTCTTATTCTTAAAATATACTAAGATATCATCAATGAACACTACCACA